TGGTAACTCATCAGTGGACTTTCCTCGTCAATATAGGCTATATTTTTTCACACTTTTCTCATTCTATATTTCTGACGTTCCAAAAGTGCCTCCTACTGGTAGAGAATGAATGTTCATTATCAATAATCCAGTCTTTAGTTTTTGTTCAGACCAATGCGAAAATCCACCCACATAACCCCATTTTAAATTAATATAATAATTTATACTTCTGACTCACCCCTGGTTTAAACGCTCAATTTTATATATATATATATATATTTTTTTTTTATTTTATTTTTTTTTATTTCATCATATTCGTGATTTATGATTTTTTATGAAAATTTTATTTTATAGAATAGCTAGGGTATTCGTTATGGTTGTATATTTCTTATGACGAAAATGGAATGATATTTGACAGTGAATCCATCTCAACTGCATAGCCGCATACAATCGTTGGTGTCAGTCGCGAATATTAAGCATGTTTTAGGCTATAATGCATGGCGTGTGTGTTTCACTAGCTCCCTTCCCATGTACACCTTTTGTTTGATCTAATTCTAGGCTATAATGCATGGCGTGTGTGTTTCACTAGTTCCCTTCCCATGTACACCTTTTGTCTGATCTAATTCTGGATATTTCCAGCCTAAGACGTGTGATTAATCAGCCGATTAATCCGTATCTAAAGCCATGTCTACACCAAGAGAACTCATTATAATCAGTTGATGCGGTGACCACACGGGAAGTGGCGCGAGGTGACAAATCTTCTACAGTAACTGATGCCTCCTTCTATCCTGAATTTTTAAAACATGCGTTGTATGCGTTGAAAGTGAAACCTAAAAAAACAGTGCGCAAAAAGAAATCGATTGCACGCTTTCACAAGCTTCAGCAAATGCATGAAATCAAAGATTGCACGCTTCCCAGCCAAAACAACCCCCCACGTGAAATTGAAATAATAACCTGTGATATAAGATTTTGGCCATGTTGCCCGTTTAAATCATTCATCCCACACTATCAACAGGCGAGTCATGTAGGCTTACACTTCTTGTACTTCATTTGGGCACCACAAGGTGTCACTGTGGCCTCAAAGCTTATCCCTCGCCTACTCTGTCTCGATTGCTATTCCTGAGGTAAAACACGCCCTTCTCATTACCCTACGGACAAAGAAATGTATAAATAAATAAATGTGAAAATAAAAAATTGTAGAAATGAATAAATAAAGAAATAAATACGTAAATACATAAATGTGAAAATAAATAAAAGTGGAAATAAATGTATAAATAAATAAATGTGGAAAAAAATTTAAAATACATAAGGAAATAAAATTATAAATAATTATCTATTTTTGCTTTTTTACTTTTGTATATTTATATATTTATATTTGCTTTTTTACATTTCTTTGTACATTCATTTATTTCTAATTATGGCAGGATTGGAAATTAAAGGAATTGTGAGGAAATTAAAAATAGCTGACTTCCTGTTGGGTTTTGGATGTTGTACCAGGAGACTTTTTTGTAGGTATTGGTGTGTTACATGTGTCTACCTAGTTTCATACACGTATGTGAAACGTAGCTCGAGGGGCACTTCGTTGAAAAATGTATAGGTGGCACTATCGAGCCATTTTGCCACACCCACTTCGGAAATCAATATCAGATGTAAATGTTCGCCAGTTCTGACGCGTGTGCAAAGTTTCATGAGTTTTGGAGCATGCTTAGGCCCTCAAAAATGTGATTCATTTTGGAGAAGAAGAAGAAGAAACGGAGCAATTCCAATAGAGTCCTTGCACTGCAGTGCTCAGGCCCTAATTACATTTTGAAATGTAGTTTGATGCTAATTGTACCTCTAAATATATTTTCAGATGTGTTCTTGTAAGCATTATGGGTAGTTTGTGTTTCTGATGAAGAACCAAAAGTTATTTATCTTAAGTTAATGCTGTATATTGAGCAGCAAACGATGTAAAAGCCATATACGAGATACATAGGCTACATGAGGAAAAAATGCACTGCTGGTCGGTGCCACCTAGCGTGCAGCCGTGAATTAGCAGAAGGCGATTAATCGTTTCGCGCTTGGTGTGAAAGCACTGTTTGTCTGCGATTCGCCTCGCTTTATCGCATCGCGCTCAGTGTGAAACAGCCTTTAAAGGGACATAACCAGTGTTGGGAGTAACACATTATAAAAGTAATAATATTACAGTAGTATATAACTTTTTACTGTAACGCAGTAATATAACGCATTACTAATACAATTTGGGTAATATTATTACTCATTACAATCTCAGTAACGCAAGTTACAACAACATATTTTAACTCAAAATTAAGTGATGAATTTACCAACACCGCAAAACAGCACCAGAGAAAAAAATCAGCGGGTAAAATAGTCTGTCTATTTCCTGTTGCTGGAATTTGGTTGAAATTACTGCAGAGATGGATTCTACATTTGTGAGATGGACACACTCCTGTTATTTTCAGTTCATCGGAGAAAAGAATAAGAATGCATAGTCAGGTGCAATATGTGCAACACCAAACTCTCAACATGGAGAAATAGCACGAGTAAA